TGCGTGGGTGTGAGTTTGTGCACAGCACAGAACTGAGCACGCTTACAAATCTCTTTGCATCCCAAGAGATCCCATCTCTCTAGATATCTTGAGGTTTTATACTGCTGCCCATCACCACAGTATCTGAACGCCTTCCCTGTAAAATCAGTAGCAATAGTCTCCTCCCTAGCAGACTTCCAGGGGGCTCCAGCTCTGTTTCAGGGCAAAACTCTACTTGGGGGTATGGGTTTTCAATTTTTTCGTAGCATGTCAGTGCTGCGAGAGTCATTTTTATGACGGAAAGGCCTTCTCAAAGATGAAGGCTTTGCAAAACCTCCTAAAGATGGTCAAACTCTGGATTCACCTGATGTCCTCTGGGAGTTTGTTCCATAGCCAGATCCCCTCGACCGAGAATGCTTCTCACACACCTTTTCCTGGGCTTTGTGATCCGCATTGACCCAGAGGAGCGCAGCTGTCGTGGTGGTGAACAAATCAAAATTGATGCAGCTGGGGCATGATCTATTAATTGCTTTGAAACCCTCAGTAGTTCAAACATATACACACACCCTATACAAGGATATGGCCATCCACTTCTGGGGTGGAACATGGCAGCTCAACAATTTAGGACTGGAAGTGAAAAAGGCAGCATCCAGCTGAAACTACAAGGTAGGCAGGATGCAACAACCTGGGCTGGAATACGTCCAGAGTGGTGGGACTGACACACTCATCCTTACAAAAAGGATGATGGGATCTTTAATGCCTACAAAAGGACCTCGGTTTTACATCTTATTTGAAAGACTGGTGAACTGTTTAGGCAGAGACAACAAAGCAATACTTACTGGAAGAAGGAAATTACTTTTGGCAGCTTGTAAAGAATAAGCTCAGAGAAAGGCTCCAGTTCCCTTTATGAGGAGTTAGTAATACAGCACTGGGGGACAGGACAGTTAAGTACGTGTGAGCAAATCCTCATTATATCCTGGAGTCTTTCCACATGCAGGATCAGATCCATAGGGTTTGAAAACTTGGACTACAGAAAAAAAATCCCTTAATCTCTCCACGGCTGGAAGGGAATGGCTTTTCGGTCACTGAAATGAATGAGTGCAGAGGGGGCAGTTAGAACGCCAGAGGTTAAGATATGTTTTTAATCCCTTTGCAACTCAAACTCTTATAGCAATAAGGGAAAAAACAACAATCGGGAATTGCCCAGTGTGCTGGTGGCTACACAACACACTGTCCAATGGGGAGCAGGGGATTTTCTGATTTTGGCTCATGGTCCTGCTGCAGAGGCAGTGACAGGGGTCCAATGGGAAAAGGTGCAAGTTGCACACACACACACACACACACACACACACACCACCCCTTCCAGCTGACAAATGGAAACTGCGTTAATTGGCTCCTGAGGCAGTTGCATTCAGCAGCCTCAGGTACAGAAGGAGGACTTCAGCAATAAAAGGGGGGAACGCATTTGAAAACAGAGAGACCCAAGAGGAATTAACAAACGAAACCTTCCCCACCTTCCATCCCTGAAGGAGCACAGGTTGCTGAAACAAAATCACCAAAGCAGCAGGGGAAGTCGATATCCTAACGCTGCCATTATTTACACAGCACTGTCAATTCACAAAGCAAATAAGAGATCTATGTTCCTGCCCCAAAGACTTTACAATCTAACCGAAACTAAAACAAAACATGGGACTGCACTGGTGAGAGGAACATCATGGGAAGGCCCTCTGGAAAGGAGGGGAATTTAAGAAGGGATTTGAAAGAAAGGGAGGGCACGCTTAGTAGACAAGAGGTGGGAGCTTTTCCAATTATTGAAGGACTCATACGTGAAAATCAGAGATTGTAGATGGGGTGAAATAACATTAATAATACCACACTCTACCTGCTTTTCATCAGTAGCTCTCAAAGTGCTTTACAAAGGTCAGCATTATTATCCCATTTTACAGATGGGGAAACTGTAAAGGCACAGATGTGTGAACTGGCTTGCCTAAGGTCACTCAACTGGCCCAGAGTAGAGCTGAGAATAGAAGCCAGGCCTCCCCAGACCAGTGCTCTCTCCACTAGGCCATGCTGCCTCCCATATGCAGAGCTTCAGCAGCCAGTGTAGTTTCCATATCTGCTTGGTGCACACTTTGGGGGTCATCTGGGGTAAAAGGAGCTATACAAATATGCAAGATAGTAACATCCTTTGGAAGACAGTGGTGATGTGAACAGGAAACCCCACCACAAAAGCAAAGCATAAAATTTACCTGTCCTTTTGGCTGGTCACCACTCTGTCAACTCCTAAGTAGTACGCAGAACGCAGCATTGCACCCAGATTCATAGGATCCTGTATCTGCTCCAGCACCAGCCAAATCAGCTGTGTGCCCAGACCAACCTGGGAAGCTTCAGCTTCTTCCAAGCTGCTAAGATGGAGAGGAGTGGCCTCTAAGCAAACTCCCTGGTGGACTCGACCTTTGCAAAGAGCATCCAGCACCTGCCTTCTGACATGGTGCACGGGGACCCCGCAGGCCTTAGCTCGTTGGGCAAACTCTTCCATCACAGGCCGTGCGCAGCTGCTGTCCGACTTGAGGAACAACTGGAAAAAGTCCCTCTTTGACTGCGAGAAAGCCAGGGAGCAGGGCGCAATGCCAAACAAGATCTCCGAACCTTCGGTCCTTTCAATGGACATAGGCTTTGGCACTGGTCTTTTCTGCTGTTTTGAAAAGTCATCCTCTCTCAGGTTCCTAAATTCCTCACTGGAAGATGCAGCCTGCTCTGTGCTTCTCTTTCTAGACTTCCACTGCAAATTCTTCTGAGGGGCGAGGCCTTTATAGCTTTTGGGAGGAGGGTGTGATTTGGGGATCACTCGTGCAGCAGCATCCCCAAGTCCCGATACTGGAAGCGGGTGGCTGCCGTTGTGCTGTGAATTTCCTTCATTCCCGAACCCCGCAGGTGATGAAGATTGCGATGGTTCCTTCTCCTGAGCCAAATAATGTTTGACTGCCCGAAAATGACTGTTGCAACTAAAAGCAAATGAAAGTCTTGCAGCTTTCCAGATGTTGAACTTAAAGATCTTCACCACCACAAAGGCCATTCTACCGCTCAAGTCTCCTCCCTCGGAACGGCTATCCCTTGAAAAAGGAGATAATGGGCTAGTTATGCAAGATGGGTTAATATCCCACTAATATTTACCATTTTAAAACATGCTTATGATCAGAAAAAGGACTATTTACAAATGGAAACCTCACACTTAACTTCCACTCTACTCGCTGCCTGTGTTCCAAGTCATATTTCCTCTTTGTTGACTAAAATACGTTATTAATATTAGCCTAATATGCTCACGGGAGAATGAGCTGGATTCCATTCTGGCTCATGCATCACAAACAGAATTAGCTAAATTCAAACTGCAGGATCTTTCACTGCTGGCCACATGTAAGCCACAGAAAGTGGCCCGCTTGACTCTCAAAATATAGTTAAATACTCTGGGCCAGATTCTGAGCTGGTGGAAACTGGTTTAGCACCATTCAAATAGAAGATGCTATGCCAATTTAGATCAGTTTATGATCTGGTCCTCTATTTCACCACTCCAGCCCACCTCAACCTCTGGCCAATAGCATTAACTTATAGTCATGGTCAAGAATGTTCCCTGCATGATTTTCTTTTAAATACACATCTATATAATGCAAGCATTTGACTGTATCAACAGACTTAAGAAGCCATAGGTTGTGCCATGTCATATGAGAGAGTATTTCATAGATTTGCAATAAAGTTGTCATACTGAGTATTACCTGTCTACATCATATATTATTGATGATCTCCATGAAAGAAATATACAGAAGAATATATATATTATTTACAGTGATAAACTCAACTAGCAGAACTTGTTCACACTGAATATAGTCTACTTTAGGTTCTTATATGGCTCCCATTGTCATACTGAACACCTTGCAAACTGTAACGTATTTATTATCACAATACCCTCATGAGGTAGGAAAGTCCTTTCTATTCTGGGCTCTCCCACTGGCCTACTGGATGACCTTGGCCTAGTCACGTCCCCCTTCCATGCCTCAGTTTCCCCATCTGTAAAATGGGGGCTAATGATAATTACTTCCTTTGTAAAGTGCTTTGAGATCTATTGATGAAAAGCGCTAGATAAGAACTAGCTATTATTATTATCCCAATTTTCCAGATGGGGAACTGAGGCACAGAGAGGCTAAGTGACTGACTCAATGTCAAACGGGAAGTTTGTAATAGAACAAGAACATGGCGCAAGGTTTCCCACGTTCTAGGCTTGTCTCCTAACCACTGGACCATCCCCATTCCCCTCTTGGACACAGCTTTATTAGTTAATATATTGCGACAGAGACAAAAACAATAGGCAGGGCTGAGCACCCAGCTGCACCAAGTCTGCAGAGATCCTCACTGCAACACTTCAGTCCTCTTCAGTGCTTGCTGCTGTTGCAAACCAGAGCACCAATGCATTAGTCTGCTATCCATTATCCTTACAAGAAGATGGAAACAAACAGCCTCCAGGGGGGGAAGAACAGTGGGTTTTAGGGCTGACAGGGCCGGGGCTCCAGGGCGCTCCTTTCAATTCCCAGCTCTGCCTTGGACTTCTTACGCGACTCGGGGCAAGTCCTAGTCTCTCTGCCTCAGTGCCCGTCTGTACCAAGGAGGCCGCTTCGCAGTGTCACCGGGGCGGTGGGGCAGGAGATGCCCAGGCAGCGCTGGTGACGGGGGGCCTGTGAGTACTGTGGAAACGGGGCTTGTGATGGAGAAAACGAGAACGGGACCCACCTCCGGGCGGCTGCGCCGGGCTGACGCTTCCTACCCGCGGGGGAGGTTGGTGCCGCCCAAACCCCAGCAGGGAAACGGAGTTTTGCGGGGCTAGAAAAACCCACGTGCGCAGCGGGGCGGTCCCGTCCCCACCGCCCCGCAGGCGCGTTACCCGCGGGCTCTGGCCGGGAGAAAGGAGCCGGGCCTGGGCGCCGGGGGCAGCACAGAGGGCGGGCGGGGGCGACCCGCAGGGAAGCGGCTCTAGGCGGGGGGAGGGGTCGACCCCGACCCCCGCCCGCCCCCCCCCCGTCCCCCAGCGGTGACCCCCTCGGCAGCAGCCCGTGGGGGGGCCTGAGAACTCAGCAACCGCCCCCCCCCCGCACCAGCCTCCGCCGCCTCCCCTGGGCGCCCCCACACACTCCCCTACCTCACACTCCACTTCCGGGTCCGTGCGCCACCATCGAGAGGAGAGGACAGCGGGGCGCCCTGCGCTGCAGCGCCACCTGCTGGTAGGCGTTGGCCGGTGCGGAGCGTGCCCGCGGGGGGCGGCCTGGTGGCGGGGGCGGCTGGGGTCACTCAGGCTCTAGCTGGTCTTTAGGGGCAGCTGGGCAGGGGGCACCCGTGCTGCAGAGGTTGCCCCGGGGGACCAATCCGTCCTGCATGCCCTGCAATGGGCTGGCGCAGCCCGAGAGCGCCAGTGCATGCCCCCAAGGATCTCCCATGGTGGGGTGACCCTGCCTGTGCCCTGGGGTGGGCCGGCCGGCATGTGCTCTGTACCCAAGAGAGCACCATTCCCTGCAGATAGCCATATCCCAAAGGAGTGCCACATCCCCATCAGGGCATCTGTGGGCCTGCTAGGGTGACCAGATAGCAAGGGTGAAAAATCGGGACAGGGGAGGGAGGGTAATTGGCACCTATATAAGACAAAGCCCCAAATATCAGGACTGTCCCTATAAAATGGGGACATCTGGTCACCCTAGGGCCCACCCCTGCCCGGCAGCTGTGCCCGGAGGCTGGGAATAATCATGCGGACTCTGGCAGATGCTCACGACCCATGGCCGGAATATCAAAGTGAAAACACCGCCTTGGCAGCGTGCACTGAGAGGAGAGACCTTGCCTGGCACCTGCAAATTTGCCTGCTTGCCCCACTCAGGAAAATTCCCCTCTCCGCCACCACCACACAATCTCAGGATGAGCACAAGCTTTTGACTCCGACCCACCTCCTGTGGCTTTAGTTGCACACAAAATGATTCCACAGCCTGAGAGAGAAGCTTATTTTGTAAAGACATCATTTATGATGATGATTTTCTATCCTTTATTGTATGGATTAGTTTGTATTACAGTAGCACTTTGAGACCCCAACGGTAATCAGAGCCCCTTTGCACTAGGTGCTCTGAGACAGTCTCTGCCCCAAAGAGCTTCCATTCTAAATAGACAAGGCAGCTAAAGGGGAGACAGAGGCACAGAGAGGTGAAGTGACTTGCCAAGGTCACTCAGCAGAGCTGGGAGGGGTATCCAGGTCTCCAGCTTTGCTGATATTTTCTTGGAAAAAGTAACTTATTCGCAATTATTACAGCCTTTCTCTGTAAAGTGATGCATGTCTTCAGAAATTCCCCAAAACAGGGACCAGCTCTTCATCTGTCCTAGTTTGACAACTTGATATCATTTCCCCCACTGTCAAGTGAACCTTGGGCATGGGAGAGAATGAGCCAAGTTGCTAAAGATGTTTGATTCCTTGGTTGCCAGCAGAGGGAGCTTGGCTTCCACCAATACACAGAAAACCTCCTGATAAACAATGTTAAAATCCAGTTAGGGTAAAGAGATGCTTGACAAGGCTGACAGTATAAACAAATCTTACAGAGCCAAATTCATCCCAGGTGTAATTCCATTGGCTTCAGTGAAATCTGGCTCAGTCTTGTGCTTGAAAATGCACATTTAAAAATGCAGCTTCTTCTGCTAAAGACCAAATGTCTCAGCTCCTCAAAGAAAAAGCTGCAACAGTTTTAAAATGCCAGCTCGTGGCTTGGGCGTGGCCTGCTGCTAAAAGCACAGTGATGATGGACTAAGGTTGCCACTTTTCAGATCTCCGGATTTGCCATGTCCTGATACAAGCTAGTATGTTACATGATCAGGTGAGGCTGTGTCATGACATCAGAAGGCGGTGGCATCACATACTGATACAATTTGGTGACAGAGACCTCATCTACAATAGAAAGTTGTACCCGTTAATAAACCTGTGTAGGCAAAGCAGTGGAACCTTCCTCCCGTGGATTCAGTAGAAAGGACCTTTATACTGGTATAGCTATTTTCATACAGGAAGGGGAATAACTATACCAGTCTAATGCAACTTTATAATGGTATAACTCTACCTAAACCAGTTATACAAGAATAAATCACACCCCTAACAGACATAGTTATATTAGTACAACTTTCAAGTGCAGATCTACCCCTAGTGTCATTTGAGTCACAAAAATTTACAGTATCAGAGGGACTGGATATTGTGCTACAAGCTGAGCTTTCAGGATGTGGGATTGATTGGACAAAATCTAGGCTGTCCCACAAATTCTGTGATACATGGCAGGTGTGTGCCCACAATGTGCCATCCTGCTCTCCTGCCAGTTTGCGTTCTCTGGCACTCGAAAGCAATGCACATCCTGCTTTCCGACGCTGAGAAAGCAGAGTGACCGCTGGTTATGTACAGTCACAACCCAGCAAGTCCTTGTGCTCAGGATACTTCTACAACAATAATACTCTACGTGGACCTTCCATCCAAAGATCAGGTGGAGCATTGAGGAGTGGGATGGGTGTACATGTAGGGGGGGGAAGGGGAGTTAAGTGTTTCTTTCAATGAGCTGCAGGAGCCTGGAGACAGGTTAAGGGTTTTGCTCTAGCTTGCTGTTGTTAATAACTCGTTATAATTAATGATGGTCTCATTAGAACATTCCCACAGGAGCCCAGGGTCTGCCTGACGCACTTGCGCCCCCAGTAACAATCACCTTCTAATGAGTACTCTGTCTGCCTTTCCCTCTAAGGCATGTTGTTTAAATATTACGAGAGGGCGGGGAAGTGACTCTCCTCCTATCTCTAATAATCAAAGATATTTGAATAAGGCCTTGCAGCAGAGCTCGGTATGGAGCACTAGACTCAACATAGGCAGAGACCTCATGGAAGGAGCTGTCCTACAAACACTCAGTCACAGTCCCCCTGGGCTGCATTGTTGAAAACAGAAGCAAAGTCTGTATTTTTGCTAGTCATCCACACCCCCTCTGTTGCGCAGCCAGTGGAGCAGCTGTCCTCGCAGCACTGCTGAGCCGTTATGGTGCCCAGACACAGACTGGGAGGATCTACAGAAAGAGACATCCTAGGTTCAGAGCTGCAGACTCGCTTTGTTTTCTCCTCCAGGACAGGAGGTTCTAGAAATAGAAGGAATCTTTGCACGCTGACTGCAGTGTCCTGGGGACATCGCCCTCTGGATTTCTGCTACAGGAACAGACCAGATCAATCTTTGCTGCTGCCTTCTCCCCCCAGATTACTTATGATGTTCAGTGCAGTTAAGGCTGAGGCTGCAGCATATAAGGATTACAAATAACCTAGCTGGGCTGAGGGCCTGGAAAGGAGCCATTCTGTCCCCTGGGGTCTGTTTTCTTGATGGTTCTGCCTACGCACTCTTCACAATTGCTTATGCCGCATTCCAAGGCACCACAGGAGGCCATTACGCCACATTTCTTCATGGCTCCTAGTCAGGGGCATCTGACATGTTTTCCTGTGTTATTTTTATTACATTTGCTATTTCTTTGGAGTGCTGGTGAGAGCCCACCTGTCGGTGTAACTTATGTCACTCAGGGGGGTGGTTTTTTTACACCCTGGGGTGACATAAGTTATACCAATAAAAGTGCTAGTGTAGACATACCATAGACACTGATGTCCAGTAGTTAGCCAACGATATGGGACTCAATTTACCCCTCTGTAAAATGAGTATAATACCATTTACCTAGGTGTTGTGAAGCTTAATTAATGCCTGTAAAGGACTTTGATGATGTGAAGAGAGGCAACACCGTCTAGAAGAACAAACCCAGTTCTAATCCAGGCCCGGCCACTGACTGACTTGGCCATCTCTTTTAACCCCTCTGAGTCTCATTTGTTCCATCTGTATTATGGGAACGATACTGCTTGCCTCTCTGGGATGTTGGAGCATTAACTCATGTTTGTACAGTACTTTGAACATGGAAAGAGCTGAGTGTTAGTTTTTGTAATAATACACTATCCGCAGTGTGCAGAAAGGCAAATGTACTTTCATTGATTATGTGTGTTCAGGAACAGCAGCAGCTTGGATGGCGTACGTACACACGTCAGCTCGCAAGCTGCACTTCTGCACCAACTACTTAGAACCAGATCATCAAAGGCATTTAGGCACCTAACTCCCATTTCCCACCCTGCACTGTCCCAGAGCCCAGGCTCCCGCCTGAGTCCAGAAGTTTACACAGCCCCACAGCCTGAGCCCTGTGACCCCAAGTTGGCTGGCATAGGCTAGCTGCAGGGTTGTCTGTGCTGTGAAGACATACCCCTAGAACTCTGCAGATGGATAAAACTGCAGGTGTGAATGACTGCACAACGTGGTCGTAGAAGGTGCTACTTCTGTTACACTTTGCCTGTGACCCAGAGACAACACATGCACCACCCTGGTGGAGTAGGGTTGTGATTGAACCAATGGCAAGGTAACTGAACAGAAGAAAACAATTCCTTGGCCTCAGCGTCGCAATCTGCAATGTAATAGCATGTTAGGCTGACTGTCGGGCTAGTGGAATTGGAACCCTGCCACTTAGCTCTTCTCTTTACTCCACATAAAAATATTATTAGGGACGGATAAGTGCTCTGTCTCCTTAGAAAGCCCTTATGGGCAATTTCAGCTGGGATGGGAAGTGCCTGTTTGGGAGCACAGACCTTTAACACGCCTTGAAATAAATCCGATTTTTTCCCCTCGGCTCAATTAAATAGCGAAGTGGCTGCAGCGATAATGAAACTTTTTTCTACATCATAATGAGTTTTTTGGCTTTCGCCATCAAGCGTCAGGAGGTGTCATGAGCTATCTTCAGACTGCTTGGCTCTTGGCTCCGAGATGCGTGTGGTCAGAGGCATTCAGTCCTGCACAGCTGTGCTTCCTTGGCCAGCCCCAAGCTGGTGTAGATCGGCATTATCTCCATTGATTTCAATGGAGCTTTGCTGATTTACACAGGCAGCTTGCGCATGACTCCCCTAAACAGAGCCAGCGTTCTCTCTCCGCATGTGTACAGTGAACCCTGTACAAGCCACGTTTATTTAGACAATCTCCTTTCTTAAGCGACTGCCTTCAAAGCCACTGGGCCCACAGCAATGCAGCTCCACTCACTTCAGTTCAGTACCGTTTTCTCTTCTTATTTGTATTACCACAGCACCAAGGAGTCCCAGTCATGGACCAGGAAGCCCATTGTGCTAACTTACATTTATCTAGGACTTTCTATCCTGAAGGATCTTCAGGCTCTGTAGAGTAGGAGTTTAATGGTGGGCAAAACACCCACTGGTTTCAAGGAAAGCACTAACAGGTCTTTAGTTTGAACCAGGCCTAGATGCAGGAATTCCTGGGTGAGAGTCTGCAGCCTGTGTTATGCAGGTCAGACCAGATGAGATGATCATAAGGGGCCCGTCTGGCCTTAGAGTCTCTTAATTCCACCCCCACTGCAAGATCCCCGGTGACTTCAATGGGACTGCTCCATGTAGGAAGCCCAGCACGCAGCTGGAAGGGTTTGTAAGATTAAACACCAAGTCAGCCGCTCCATCGGCAAAAAGTACAGTAAAGCCCTGTGCTCATCTGTGGTGCTGTCTAAGCAACAAATAATAGCCAGAGCTAGTGCCGTTCCTGGCATTAAGTAGGTGCCCCAGAGGGAATGAACAAAACAGGTAATCATCAAGTGATCCATCCTCTGTCACCCATTCCCAGCTTCTGGCAAACAGAGGCTAGGGCCACCATCCCTGCCAATCCTGCCTAATAGCCATTGACGGACCTATGCTCAATGGACTTATCTAGTTCTTTTTGAACCCTGTTATAATCTTGGCCTTCACAACATCCTCTGGCAAGGAATTCCACAGGTTGACTGTGCATTGTGTGAAAAAATACTTCCTTTTGTTTGTTTTAAATCTGCTGCCTATTAATTTCATTTGGAGGCCCCTAGTTCTTGTGTTATGAGGAGGAGTAAAATAACACTTCCTTATTTACTTTCTCCACACCACTCATGATTTTATAGACCTCTATCATATCCCCCTTTAGTCGTCTCTTTTCCAAGCTGAAAAGCCCCAGTCTTATTAATCTTTCCTCGTATGGAAGCCATTCCATACCCCTCATCATTTTTATTGCCCTTTTCTCAACCTTTTTCAATTCCAATATATCTTTTTTGAGATGGGGCGACCACAGTATTCAGGATGTGGGTGTACCATGGATTTATATAGAGGCAATATGGTATTTTCTGTCTTATTCTCTCTCCCTTTCTTAATGATTCCCAACATTCTGTTTGCTTTTTTGACTGCCGCTGCACATGGAGTGGATGTTTTCAGAGAACTATCCACAATGGCTCCAAGATCTCTTTCTAAAGTGGTAGCAGCTAATTTAGACCCCAAAAGCTAGCCCTTTTCAAGCACAAACCTTTGTAGGGTTGGCTGTTCCTGATCAGAAGTGTGCGTATCTGGGGAACACATTCGCTACTTTCAGCTTACTCAAACATTGAGCATAAAAACACCGACATTGTCCCTACTGTGTGTGTATTTCAAATCAAACCATTTCTAGGGGGTTTCTGCCTCATCCTTGTGGGCTGTATTTGTTACATCTGCCTCTTTTAGCCAGCTCCATAAAAGTCTAGCATGCTACATAGGAGAGGTGAATCCAGTTATCCTTTCTGCCCTGCACCATGTGATAAACACAGGGTAACAGTACAAACTATTATCCCGTATCAATTAAAAGATATTACATCATTAGCAACTCACTTTAAAAACAAAAGATATATACAGATACAGGAATGTATAGATTACTTCATCTTTCATTTCTATAGAGCGTGCATTAACCTGGCTCTAGCTCCTTGTTGTGATGCTAAGGCAGACAGTTAATTTCAGACCCATCGCTGAATTACAGCCGTGCATTGGAGACCAGAGGCAGTGGGAAGCAGTTCTATGTATGTGGGTGTAAATCATTAAAACTGTGTTCATTTAGGAAATAGAAAGATGCAACAGCAACTTGCCTTTCCTACCCTCTGGTATTTAGAGCAGTTGCAGGCTGCTGCTGGCAGATGGCATTTGCAAGCAGGCCCATATGTTCCTCTCCAGCTTTATTTATTTATTGTGCAAATCTCTCTCTCTGTGTCTCTCTGTCTCTCTCTCTCTCTCTCACACACACACACACACACACACACACACACACACACACACACATTCTTTGCGCCCACAAAAATAAAATCAAACTTAGAAGTGCAGAGGCAGATTCTACTCTTATGCCTGAGTACCTGGAGATCAGATCCAAAAAGGCATTGGTGGGGGACAGAGCAGGTCAGCAAGAGTGGGATCCTTTGGGAGCTCTTCCATTTTCCAGCAGTATTTGGCCCTCTGCTCTCCTGAGCCTTCTAGCCTTATAAATAGACCCTGGGAAGTGAGAGAGGAAATTACTGTGTTGTAGTACAATGCATTTCGGCCATGTCCTGATGAGCTTCCTCCACTGGGCAGGGCAGTTTTCCACCAGCTAGAGTCTGTTTTCTACAGACTTTTAGGTGTCTTTATGCTGTCAGGTGTAAAGGGACCTTTGCGTGACTGAGAATCAGGCCCAAGGTCTCACATCAGTTTCATATTGGTGTAACCTACTTGGCTTCAGTGGATTACTCCTGATTCACTCCAATGTAATAATGAAGCAAGGCTGCACATTGCAACGGCAACAACAGGGCTCATGAGACATTACCCGCCCCATTTATAAGGCGCCCATCAGGATAGTATCCATCTGCCATTGCGTGAGTTTATAAACAGATCAAAGCCTTGCTCCAGAAGAGTCAGTCTCCTCCCCTCCCAATAGAAATGCCATTTACTTAAGAGGGGGAAAAAATCATCTAATTTGCTTCCCAGAAGAGAACAAGTCACCAAAGTCATTCCTCAACATCAAAGCAGGTACAGAGCGCTCCCTCTGCCATTAGTAACACAGCTAGAAAATGTCCATTGAAACCTGATTTTTAATCTGACAGTGCCCTGTCTATGTGCATCTGTCTACAGGCCTGATCCTGAGCCCACTGAAACGGATGATAGTGTTGCCGCGGATTTTAATGAGCAGACACATGCGCTATACCCGTCTAGCTCCTGTACATTGCTTTATGATATACTTATCACGGTAGCATTTGGGTAGAAGTTGTGGATCTGAACAACCTGTCAATGCTCAACTGGACACAACTGGAGTGCCAACAAGCCCTAACCCAAAGGAAGAGGTATTGAGCAATCCTTATTACCTTTGCATTTATTGCTTGTAACTAACCCTGATAAATATCATCACCACCTAATCCACCTAAGAACACTCTTTGGGCTCCTAATTTACCATGATCTTTCAGAGGCGGCTTTGTTTTTACCTTCCCTTTTAGCCCGAGCAGGATGTGCTCCATATACTGGATTCCACTAGTGCCTTTTGTCTGCCTGCCAAACTCAAAGCATTTTTCAAAACCGGGACTTCTGCTTTGCTGACCACAGTTAAAGGAACGTTCTGTCTTCTCCCTGATTGGGTTTGACAGTCTGAACTTGGCACCTTCCGGTTGCCTCTTAACTGCCCCTCATTAGGCGGGATGACCCTCAGTTTAAACTCAAATTTGTCTCGGTCCCATCCAATATTGTAGCCTCTCGCTTTCATCATAATCCAGAATTGACATTCCTGACAGCGGGTCATGTAGCTGCCATTACAGACAATACACACCATTTCTTTAGAGCCTTCTTCTTTTTTTAAGGCAGGGGCAGCTGCTCGTTTTGGGGCTCTCTCTCCCCACTGCATCCCACATTTGTGCCTAGTCATCGTGAGGTATCCATCAGTCTACCCCACTGATGGAGCTAGATACTCATCTGGCAGAGAGGCACGCTTTGCGAGGGGCACTGCTCTGCAAAGCAACAACCGTTTGCATGGTTTAACTCACACCAGAAAAAAAAAAGAAAATTAGGACATAGCAACACCAAAGGTCCCACCCAGTTCCAACCTATAGACAATCAGGGCACCATGGAGTGGGTATTAATATTATTCCCAAGTGGGGATACTTATGCACAGAAGGGCTTCGGCTGAGCTCACACAGTGCATCAGTAGCAATGGCCGGAGTAGAACGCAGAGGTGCTGATTCCCAATCTCCTGCTCCAACCATTGCCCATCTGCCTCAGTGTTTCCATGTCCCTTAGGTCCACAGCACTACCTAGGCACCGGGGCTTTTGTGCCCAATGCTGATCCCCCAGCTAGCGCTGAGCACCATAGGTCTGAGTGGAAAAGAAACGGGATGTAATAGCAGGCAGCAATATGTAAGGGCTGACCCTTCCTTGATTTCACGGGAGCCTTAAAGGTATAGTAGCAGGACACCCAGAGAGCTCGCAAGGAAAGGGTCATATACCAGCAGCATTTCTGTAACAGTGGTTTGTTTCCAATACCTCTATGGGTTACGAGGTTAAAGAGATGATTCTTAACAACAATGAAGGCCATGGTGCATCACGGTGCCTCTGAGCTCATTAACGCGGAGCTCAAGCGCCCGCTATCCAATTATCAGGTTTTCATTGTCAAGACATGAAACGGAAAACTCACCGGTATTTTTTTAACCACTTAATTATCACATGTCACAGGCTGGGGTCAGAGCAGGTGTGTGCTGGGCCCATCCCCATTCTCCTGCTTCCCAGCTGCTGTGCTCTGATCACCACTCCGCCCGTGAACCTGCCGTGAGCCTTGAGGCTCAGGCCGGTGAGACAGAGCAGAGCCCACCCTGCTCAGGAGGGAGGGCAAGAGTAGGAGCGGTGCGTTCCGCAGGAGTGCTGAGGCGGCGGCAGTCAGAAGCCAGACTAGGAATATAGGTCAGGTTGGAAAACCAGTTAAATTCCAAGGCTTGAACAAGATCAACTGATGCTTTTTTTAAAAAAAAAGAGGTTAGACCCCTGTCTACACTAGCATGTAAACACAAATTAGCTAACATTTTAAACCTGGATTCTTTTCCTAGTCTCTACCTGGCTGGAGAGCAGAGAACTGATCCTCTCTCAGGGCTTGTAAGGCCACGAACTCTGTCCCCCAGATCCCATTGTCCTCTGCAAAGTGAAGTAGACACCGGCAACGTGCAGCAGAACGTGAAACCAGCCCGCACAGACACTGCTTCACGGAGGATCCCCCCCCAGGATGGTAGACAACAACAGCATCCAAATGCTGAGTGGAATCAAACGGAAAGCCATGTCATCGACGGGCTGACAACGGGGACAGGAAAATTAGCATCAGCACCGCTGGAAAAAAAAGGGAAAATACTTAAGAAGCTGGGCAGAACAAAGCTAGCTGGACAATTGACCTTTATCAACGGGGAATGTATATGGCTTGGTAAAGGTCAATGTTGTATTTCACGGGCAAGGTTACAAACAACATAAAAGAAGGGGGCAGGCTGCTGTATTTGCCAGAAAGCACCGATGAGTCTCCAGGATAGGCGACATGAAGAGACTGCACAATGCTGTCTTATCCAGCAGCGTTTCTTCCCTCCACAACTTTACAGGGCGGGGTCAGGTGTACCTAGCAGCCTAAGGCAGCACAGCCAGGAAAACAGGCGCACGAAGGAGGGGACTGATGGCTAAATTTAGCTCTCAGTTGTATCCCTTTAAACTAAGGGCTTTATTCCAGTTTTGAGGTCAGATTGTGCCACTAAGCCACAGACACAACCCAGGGGCTCTGTGGAGCCATATCAGCCCCCAGGGAAGCTCCGGGCGGAGGATGCATTGCACTGCATGCAGGCAAACTAGGCTGGTATAATTCTGGAGTAACTCCATTGCCTATAGTTGAGCCCCTGTGGGTGCCGGCTCTGAGCAGCTCCTGACTGTGAGAGCATAAGGGCTGTGATTGTGGCTGGGTCCTGTAGAGAGGGCTTGAGATGGAGGCTGTGTTCATAGCTGCACCGAGGCTCGCCACTGCCTGGCCCACAGACTGGTTTAAGGCTGGCAGAATTTGGCCTTAGATATCTGTCTGCGCGCACACACCTGGACCCACACCATCTATCTGGGGTCTGATCCACTGTGGGACCCACACGGGCAGTCTCTTCAGTCCACCCCAAACCCCAGTGAAGTTAGTGGGACTCTGCGTGGGCAGAAGGGTCCCTCTGTGGGACTGGGGCCTTAGAAGGCTCCTCTGATGTGGTTGCTGGTTTCCAGTGCTATTCTTGAACTCCTCATTTCCAGCAACACCACCCCAAGAAACCCAACAGCAAAAAACCGAATGCTGAGAACTCAGGAGCCTCTCAGCCTGGCACGAAGCACACGTACATTCCGAGGCCCAAGCAGCGCCTTAAATATTAAAAAGCAAGTGTTAGAACTTCAGTTACTCCAGAGCGATCTGTGACTCCCTTCTGCTAGGCATTGTGCAGTCAGGCAGGCTGTAAAATGCAGTGGACAGTGGCGCCTGTCCGAACAATGTCTAACCATCTGGAAATATAAATCGTAAAGGTGAAATCCTGACCCACTGAAATCAACAGCAAAACTACGATTGACTTTACTGAGGCTGGGATACGACCCTCAGTGTTTACAACTGAGCTGCATCGTATTTGCAATCTTAGGATTACAAATAGGAATAGCTCATAAACGATGCAGTGAATCAGCCAAATCTGCTCCCATTGGCTCCAATTCACTATTACCCTGCACTTTGACACCAGTGCAAAATGCTACCATTCTGATTTGGAAGTATTTTTAGGTTCACTTTGCACTTGTGTAAATGACTAAACTGGGTGCGGGGCAAAGGTGAACTGGGCCCATTGACTTCAGTGGCTGCAGGATCATGTCCATAATAAATGTTAGCTCCAGCTTTTGGACCTTTTGGGTTTTTTCCTGCCCAACTTGCTCACACAAGTAATCCTCTTAGGCCCCGCTCCTGCAAAGAGCTGAGCCCTTCCTGCAAACCTGGAGGTTCAAGGCCTGCGAGCGTGTATTCCAACGTTGGGACAATCTTTTAAATAACGAAGGATTCAATAGAACCAGTCAAGTTTCTTTTAGTCCTTTCTAGTATTGTCAACCTGAAACTTTCAAAAAACATGATTCAGGCCCCCAAAATCATGAGATTGGCGTTAAAATCATAAAATGTCAAGGAACACTGGACTCTGTTTATTTGCCTTCTGGTTTTTGAACCTTTAGGATGCACTTACATTACCTTTCCAAGGTTTTCTCTGCAGATGACTAGCAACTTACTATTTTTTAATAAACGCTGAGATTCCCACATGACTCCTGGAGCTAGGGCTTCATGATAAATAGCAAATAATGGGAGATGTGTGATAAAAATCACAAGAGTTGGCAACGCTGCCCTTCTATTTCACAAGGTCTTTCTGGCTGCTCACAAGACACCCAACCATTTGTTAATACTCAGTTAACAATTTTTTTCCAGCCACCTGTATGTCGTTGCAAACAATTCTATTGTGATGGCAGCAAACACTGGCTGTTAAATGTGCCTTTGCACTTGGGTAAATTGGAAGGTGATTCATAAATAAATAGCTGTGATGGAAAAAAAGTCTTCTGTATTGTTTGCCCCCCAGTAACGAACGAAAGACTCCCTACAAGGATACAGTGCTAGTTTCAGATGCAAGTCTATGTTTTCCAGGATGGTGGTACCTCATTCCTTGAGTAGTTCAAAAATGCAATTCAGAGTCAGATTCTGCCACCCTGATGTTTAGTACTTTACCTCATCGACAGTCCCACTGAAATCAGTGGAAGTACTTGCAGATTAAGATACTACTCAATGTGAGGACGAGTAGCAGAATCAAACCTAAACTGGTTATTCACGAGATAACAGAATGCTCTTTTTGCAAACATCTCCCTCTGAAAGATGAGCATCCATGAGGCCAATCGAGAGACCACTGGAGTCATTGGGACTCCTTACATTGATTTCAGTGGGTTTTGGATCATCCCCTGTATGTTTTAAAGCAATTACACAAATGGTTGCCATGAAAGTAAGGGCCCAACCTTCAGCCTTTACTCATCTGAGACCTTGGCTTTAGTGAGAGTACCCACAGCACAGACAACAAACCCTGCAGTGGGATTCATTTGGGTAGCAACTTGTGCTCTGGTGGACCCCTGTTGAATTCAATAAGGCTCTCTACACGTGCAAGGTCAACGTCTGGGGCCTGACTGCAGGCGTGGGGCCCACCTGATTAAGGATTACTCACCCAAGGAAGGGATGAGACCCAGACCCAATCGTTTTAAAACCACTCTGTTGGAAAATGTTTACTTAAAATACTGAGACAAATAGTTCGTTTTGCCCCTGTACAATGAAGAGTGGGACTGAAGGAAGAAGGACAGCTTTCAGGAGGGACCTAGTTAGGTGTGACACCAGGGGCTCTGGATTGTATGTTGGTGGCCCAGTGCTACCTGACAAACAGTGGCCTCTCAGCGTGTAAACACTGGTCTCTATGCATGTTCAATAAAAGTCTTTCTCCTGCAACTCCGCCTGCCTGCTGCATCACTTAACGGCTCGCAAAACCACCACCAGCTCTTATACCAGTTTCTGAGTCACCCATTCTTAGGCATGTAACCCGAGAATATTCCCTCCACCATATTCGGACACAGGCATTGGCAGATACGGTCAGAAAGAACATCTGTATCTTTAATAAAAACACATCACTGCTACAATTTAACATCAAGAATTATTATTGGTTTCCAGAGTGCCAACAATGTGCTAGGCCCTGTACAAAAACAAAGGAAGCTATGTTCCCCACCCTGAAATCACTCTGCTTTCATAAGACAAATGGTTTTTTACACAAGGATTTAACTGTATATTAAGATATTTAAAAAGTAGGACAAAGCCATAGTATTTTTCTCTTTTTTATTTTACAGTTCACAATTAGAAACCTATCGATAAATTAAACAGTTCACCCTCCTGTTTGGGGGTTTCAAAACAACCCTTCCTCTTCATAGTAGTGTTGCCAATGCCACATCATTCAGGAAAGATGGTTCAAAGTGCAATCCATCTAGGTAAATATAAATGAGAGGCAGAGCGGCAGAAGTAGCCATCTGTTTTCAAGCCCCTTTAAGATTTGCACGTGTTTTAGGAAATCAGCCAAAGTAGAAAGTTAACTGGCAGCAGGAAAAAATTCCCTAAAAAATTTGGAACGGAAAATATACTGGACAGTTGGGAGCAAAATAATTTGAAAGACAACACATTATTTTATCAGTCTGAGAAGGTTACAAATGTAGAAAAACATTTGAATGGGACTTTTAAAACCATGAGGCCGCCAGTTCATATTTTAAGGAACACTAGCAAACTGGAATGGCCCTTTTCATAGAATCATAGAAGATTAGAGTTGGAAGAGACCTCAGGAAGTCATCTAGTCCAATCCCCTGCTCAAAGCAGGACCAACACCAACTAAATCATAGGAAGATACCTTAGGTAATGCTCTCTGAAGTCAAAGCAGAATTATCAATTTAGGCCCTGATTCAGCAAAGCACTTAAGCATGTGCTTAACTTTAAGCATCTGAGTATTCCCATTGACTTCAATGTTAAGCATGTGGTTAAGTGCTTTGCTGGACGGGGACTTAAGGATTTCCCTCACCAACAGGTTTCCAATTTCTAAACATTCAGCACCCAGGGTAAAATTCACATCTGTGCAGAGGGCCTACACAAAGACCAATACATCAGTTAAGTGGGACTTAAGTGGTGCATTTGCTTGGTTCGAGTTCTCTGCACAGTGATGAATATAACCTACAATGAATTAAAAAGCCAAATCCAGAAACAGCTGAGTCAGCACTTGCCTTACCCAGCAGGGAGGGGATGAGAAACCAGGAATGGAAAGAAAAAAAAAATATAATGAACACACTTTTAAAGAGGAAAAAAAAGTTATATTTGTTTTCATTTATGCCAGCATTACTAACGTATGCGTTACCAGCTATTCTGGCCATATCTGTCTACTGTTGCCAACCTTTGGCACAAGTAATTCTGTGTATCGCAAGATGTAATTAATAATACTTAATAACAATACTTAGCACTTACATAGCGCTTTTCATATTCAAAGTGCTTTACAAAACAGATAATGAGTCCTCACAACACCCCTGTGAGGTAGGTAAGTATTATTATCCCCATTTTACAGATGGGGAAACTGAGGCAGAGAGGTTAAGTGACTTGCCCAAGGTTAAAGAGGGAGTTGGAATACAGGAGGTATTTGGCCTGATCCTGGTCTCTCTTACACTAATATAAACAAGGAGTAACACCCATAGATGGTGTAAAACTGATGTACGTGAAGAGATCAGAATCAAGTTCCCTGGCTCCCAGTCCTGTGCTCGGGTCACTTGACCACACCTGCTCCACCTAATACAACAGGTTCACCACTGGAAATGCTACAGGAAATTCGGAGCCCAGCAGAAGTGAAATCAGAATCTTAAGGCAACACATATTAACAGCTCCACAATTGCATATCAGGTTGGAGTGCACACCTATGTCTCTTTTATACCATTCTAACGGAGTCTAAACATGGTCGCTAACGTAGTTTTGCAACTGTAACTGTAATCAGCTATGGGCCTGACTCTCCTCAGTTCTAAACCAGTGTAAATCAGGTGTAACTCAGAGGAATTACACCAGCATAAAACTGTTGATGAGAGCAGAATGAGGCTTTATACCTGCAGTTTAGAAGTCATGTATCTGGACAGCTTCAGTATGGTTCACCCCCCTCCCTCTCTCTCTCTCCCCACCCCCACCCCAAGAATCTGATCATATACCATTTCACAGTTTCAACATTTCCAACTCACTAGCTTTCAGCAATCAGCATTTAAACAGCACCATACAGCATTTCTAAGACTGTGTCAATATTTCCAAAAAGTGTCAATACATGCAAATATCAAACATACAAAAACATCAAGAATGCTATGAGATGGTACAAAGGATATATATGATCACAAGAAGACCGTACACAATTTTATTTTACTTTTATTAAAAAGACCAAACAACTCACTCATACTTTAACTATGCCACTTATACGTTAGATAGTCATTCCCTAACCTGTGGAAATTCAGGTGCGTATCCCTCCATCTATCTACCTACCTAGAAAGAGAGAGAAATGGCAATCACAAGAGATACTTCTTCAGATCTGTCAGGCACAATTCATGTAAACAGGAAAGGAGTATTCTTTACACTTCTTCTGGCACTGTGGGATACAATGGGGAAGGGGGAGTCACATGCACCATTATTGACAAGCAAAATTAGCTTTGAATAGATGCAAGAGAAACAGAAATTAGATCTGACTGATACACGATATACACCAAAAATCTGAAGCATTAAGTATGTTGAAAAAGGTGGACAGTGGATGTCTTGTCTCTTGTTTTGACTTTCGAAGAGAGGACTAGGATTAAGACAAATCCTTTGTTCTAAGTACAAAGGAAATCTCCTTCCAGCGCATTAGTATGTCACAGCTGAACAGGGAGGAGGTGGAAATCACATCTGCCAAATGAAGTCGTTGGGACACCTCTGACAATAATACTTAAAAAATAGAGAAGAAAGTGACAGGTCATGTGCCATTTAATTCATTGCAACAATTCAAAAGAATGTGCATCGGCAGAAAGGAATCAGCAACCAAGTGATGCTTTGAAGTTGGCAAATATCTCATGACGCTTCTCCTGTGTCTGTCTAGAGCATCAGCAAACGAGAGCCAAACAAAACTAAAAACCCAAACCAATAATATACAGTATTCCACTGATTTGCTTCCCTGCAGTGTTTTCAAATTACATTTACGGTAACAGTGAGGGGGAGAGAAACCCAAGACCAGTAGGAATTTTTTTTAACTTGGCTCAGCACCAGCTGAGAGAGAGAGAGAGAGAGAGAGAATGAAAATTAATTCTTCAAATGTGATCCTTGGAATCCAATTAAAATTTTGTCAACCAGCAGATGAAACCCTAAACTGCTGGAGGGTGTGAAGAAGGGATTGATGCATGGTGCTGCTTGCATTCCTCTTCATTTGCTATGAAATCTGCTCTGTAGGCCTCATCTGAATATCTCCAATCTGGAAAAGACCAATACATGATTTTACAGTAGCACTGAAGCCCATTTTAAGAGGTTCACAGTGTGCTAAACATAAACACGCTAAACATGTGTGAAACATAATAATGACAAACTGCAAATGAACACAATGCATATGACAAGCTATAGATCCCTTCAGAGTTATTCAACCACCAGTCATTAGGTTTTGTTGGTTTGTTTTTAACAACAGTTTTTTTCTTTTAACAATGATTTTTTTCTTCTAACAGAATTACAATGATTTTAATCTTAGTACACAGAAGAGAAGGAAGACAGTGTAAGCTGATATTGGTTATAAATCCTCATACTTCAGGGCATAAACCAACTTCTACCTAATGAGAGTCACGAAGGAACATTGCTCATGGCCAGGTTATAACTGCTTATTGCACAGATTCTTGCAAACTTTCTCTGAAGCAAGTAGTGACCAGTGTCAGAGACAGGACACTGGACTAAATGGGCCAATGTAATGATTCAGGAAGACAGCTCTTATATCCACGTGTCTCATGCCCTGCCTTTGCAGGAGCCCATGTAAAGATCGTGCTAGTCATTTTTTCATGTCCAAAGTCATCTGACATGTTTTCTTGCTTTCATGATATGGACCTGATATTTACATGGGTCTCCACTCAGCCTTCTCACAGATATTTTTTTCAGAGTCTCTACAAACCTGGATTGCCAGGGGTTTGTCACTTCACACCAGCATAGAGCTGAAACGCAGCAGAGAAGCAGACTGTTTGTTTATTTATTATCGGCTCCTTAGAGCTAAGATGAAAGGGTAGTGGGTGAAAAATAAGTCTGAAAGCACAAAAGATTTGAAAACCCCTTTGGGACCCTCGATCAAGAGGAACAAGTGCAACGTTGCCATAAGGTACGTGTAACTGAAATGATCAATGTTAATCCCTTTGCGAGTGCAAAATAGATATCAGGCAGATTTCCTAAAGTGCTCAGCACCCAAAATCTGGCCATATAGCTGAGGAATGAGTGGAGTTTGTGCATAACACAGAGGGAGACACTAAAGTTATTTCATGTCTGAGCCACAAATTCATTGTGATTTTAAAAGCAACTGAAAGTACCCAAGGGAATTTACCAAGTAAAAACTACCTCAAATGCAAATTTAATAGAGGCATAAAAGCAAGACAGCAAGGAGCGGAGGATCAGTTCTTAAGTGTCTAGGAACTATTGGATTTAGTTGTGCTGAGGTATTGGAAATTTGAAACTTCACTCTGAATTTGGCAGCTTGCAGGTGTCCTCACTGGTAATAGAACCTGTGCTCTTTAGCACTAAAAGCACAGGCTTCTGAGACTAAAGGAGCAGCAGTAGTAGCCTCTTATCTTCTGTGTGGACCAGGCACTGGAGGGGAGTGGGTGCACTTAGCATATGTATCAGACCTGTTAACAGCCCATATGGCGTCATTGTGTGAGGTACTCAGTACCCCTTGGAAAGAGCTGAAGGAGAGGAAGGATGGTTCAAGTGGGTAGAGTGCTAGCCCTGTAGGATACCTGCATTCAATTCCTGCTCCGCCACACGCATCCTGTGTGACCCTGGGCACTTAGCAAGATTGGGCCTTAAATTAGTGACTGGTAGAATCTGATCTAGCCCCAAGAATGTCAGCAGGACATCCGAAGACTCAGTTCAGAAGAGTTCAGAAGGGGCAAGAGAGGTCCATGTTCCTTCCATTTTAATCTAGGTTCTAGAAGGAGTCCCAGATAAAAAGTTCCTACCCCCAGAGAAAAGTTATCTTGTAGACATGCAGGCTTTAGCTGTTGGATCCTTGCAGTTTCAATATTGCCATTAGGTACGTGTAACTAAAATGATCAATGTTAATCCCTAGGCCATGCGCTCCTGAGCGCACAGCTGATATGGAGACTGCAATGCTGATGAACAGATGTCAGGTCTGCAAAAGTCCCCTTTACTCTTTCAGTTACACACAACATACCATCACGGCAAACCTGGTGGCTGAACTTTGTGACTTTGTCCTCACCCACAACTATTTCAGATTTGGGGACAATTTATACCTCCAAGTCAGCAGGAATGCTATGAGTACCTGCATGGCCCCTCAGTATGCCAACATTTTTACGGCTGACTTAGAACAACGCTTCCTCAGCTCTCGTTCCCTTATGCCCTACTCTACTTGCACTACACTGATGACATCTTCATCATCTGGACCCATGGGAAGGAGGCCCTTGAGGACTTCCACCCTACCATCAACCTCAGCCTTGACCAGTTCACACAAGAGGTCCACTTCCTAGACACTACAGTGCTAATGAGCGATGGTCACAAACAACACCCTATACCGGAAACCTACTGACCACTATACTTACCTACATACCTCCAGCTTTCATCCAGACCACATCACACAATCCAAGCTCTAAGATACAACCACATTTGCTCCGATCCCTCAGACAAGAGACAAACACCTACAGAATCTCTATCAAGCATTCTTAAAACTGCAATACCCACGTGAAGTGAAGAAACAGATTGACAGAGCCAGAAGGATACTGAGAAGTCACCTACTACAAGACAGGCCCAACAAAGACAGTAACAGAACGCCCCTAGCCGTCACCTACAGCCCCCAACTAAAACCTCTCCAGTGCATCATCAAGGATCTACAACCTATCCTGAAGGAAGATCCCTCACTCTCATAGACCTTGGGAGACAGGCCAGTCCTCACCTGCAGACAGCCCCCGAACCTGAAACAAATACTCACCAGCAACTACACACCACACAACAAAAACACCAACCCAGGAACCAAACCCTGCTACAAACCCCAGTGCGAACTCTGTCCACGTATCTATTCAAGGGACACCATCATAGGACCTAACCACATCAGCCACACCATCTGGGGCTCGTTCACCTGCACATCTACCAATGTGATATATGCCATCATGTGCCAGCAATGCCCCCCTGCCATGTACATTGGCCAAACTGGAGTCTCTATGCAAAAGAATAAATGGACACAAATCTAACATCAGGAATCATAACATTAAAAAACAAGTAGGAGAACACTTCAATCTCTCTGGTCACTCAATAACAGATCTAAAAGTGGCAATTCTTCAACAAAAAAACTTCAAAAACAGACTCCAACGTGAAGCTGCAGAACTGGAATTAATTTGCAAACTAGATACCATCAGATTAGGCCTGAATAAAGACTGGGAGTGGTTGGGTCATTACAAAACCTAAACTTAATTTCCCCAATACTAATTTCTCCCTACTGTTACTCACACCTTCTTGTCAACTGTCTGTAATGGGCCTCTCTCTTACCACTTCAAAAGTTATTTTTCCTCCCTTGGTACCTTCTGTTAATTGATTTCTCTCGTTAGACTGACCTAACACTTGGTAAAGAAACCTTTCATGTATTGATACCTGCTCCTGTATTTTTCACTTCATGCATCTGATGAAGTGGGCTGTAGCCCACAAAAGCTTATGCCCAAATAAATTTGTTAGTTTCTAAGGGGCCACAAGGACTCCTCGTTGTTGTTACAACAGAGATGTTATTTCACATGAGCTGCAACTTACCTGTACATGAGGTGGAGCACTTAGTACATATATGACAGCATTGGCCATATCTTCAGCTTTTAGACACTGGAAAGACAGAACCAATATTAACTGAGACAAAGGATTACTTAGGAAAATTGAACAGTAAAACTGCTCAGCTTTTAACAATCAACAACACTTAGTGTATTTCCAAAAGAAAAACAGACATGGGGAAAACTTCATTAAAAATTTAACAAGGGAAGTCGATTGTTTTTATTTTTGCATGGGCTATTATTAATATTACTATTACAACGGTGCTTTGATGCATCAGCTGAGATTAGGCCCCCAGTGTGCTAGGTGCTGTACAAAAACATAGTGCGATAGGCCCTGTCCTGAAGAGCTTACAGTTTAAATAGATGAGGCAGGCAAGACTCAGAAGGGAAACAGAAGCAGAGAGAGAGAAAGTGACTTGCCCAAGGTCACACAGTAGGGCAGCAGAAGAGCAGAAACTAGAACCTCGATCTCCTGGCTTCTAGTACCGTGTACTGTCCACTAGATCACTCTGCCGCTCCTAGAAAGTGTATTTCAACTTTCTGGATCTCGGATACTATCCCTATGAGACACACATTGCAAATACTTCTAGCAGATTTTCAGCCAGTGGCTCAGTCATAATTTAATGCCTGCAAAGATGATTTTACCGGAGCAATAGATTTTCAGAAGTGGGCTGTTTGCAAAGGAAAAATATACACTCTTCTCTTCCTGCCTTAGTCAGCAGCAGACTATTCCGTATCAAAGTTAAACATACCCTATGCACTTCACTCACTTGTGCTGGATACTTTTATGTTCCATACTGTTTATAAACAAAAAAGGTACCATGAGCTAACCAGTGTGACTAGTGAGTTTGTGATGTGCAGAGAGAGTTTTCAAGCTGCAAGGAAGACCTGCTCCCTAGGTTAGGCAAATTGTGATCACACTCCGTGGATTCCCTCTGGCAGGCTCAGATTGGGTTTTAAGCTTGTTTTAATGGGATTTGTTTTATTTAGACACTTGCTTAATATATTTACAACCTTAAAGGCTGATCAGAATAAAACTCCCATTATTGTCATTGTGTTAAAGATGAAGGATCAAGTCCCAGAGTGTGTCCAAAAACATCTGGCCCAATAAGCAAAGGGCAGCAGCAGTAGCAGAGACCACACATGGGAAAATCACCCCAGCAAGACTCCTCACCTCCCCCCTTGGAAAGGAAGTTTTGGGGTGAGCAAGGGATATGGCCTGTGACAATGTGCATTACACAGGTCCACTGGGCTAAAATCCTGTAGAGGATGGGGAGGAGAAGGATCTGACCATATCTGATACTCTTATCCATGGCCTGGATTAGCGCTCATGGCTCTACTTGGGGTCAGACCAATCAGTTGGGTTGAAGATTCCATCCCTCAGCCCTGATGTACTTCCTCACAGGGCTAAACTTTTTGCCCCTTACCCAGGCTGGAGAACTACGTTCTGCTTTTGGGGTGGGGGATGGACGATATGGAAAACAACTTCTCAGCAGAAAGCTAGGGGTTTTATGAGGAATGGGATGACACTCTGGACTTCATGGACAAACTGGGTAATAATTAGGAACATTGAAATTTCCAGACTGGATCAGTCCAGTGACCCATCCACTCCAGTATCCCATCTCCAACACTGATGAGTACCAGCCATTTCAGAGGAAGGTACAAGAAAGCCTGCATTAGTCAATTAAGGGATAATCTGCTCCTTTGTAAGGTTCCTTCCTGACCCCCATTAGTTTGAGGCTGGCTTGTGTCTTGAAGCATGAGAGTTTATATTCCTCCTAGAGCACTTCATTAAATAAATCAGACTTAAGATGAGCTCTGAAGGGGAGCTTAGTTTTAAAAAAATATTTTAAACCAACATCTCTACAAGAAGCTGGTTAGTTTTTGAATTTCCAAAATTGCAAGGTCCGGCTTTCAGACAGTGTAGTCGCTAATGGGGTATACTTGCCGGATACATCGTCTCTCCAATAAGACACAAGTCACTTAAACCCACAAAATGTCAAAAATTGGTTGATCTTTGTACTTGGATGTTCTTCTTGTAAATAAGAAAATTAAAAAAAGATTGAAACATATTAACATCTACAATGTATATGTGGAGGTCAGCGCAAAATCTGAGATTCAGTCTGAAGAGTCCAATCCTGCTGAGGTGCTGAGAACCTCCTAATGGGTCCTGAGTCCCTTCCCCGCCCATTGATTTCGATGAGAGTTGAGGATGCTGAGCATCTTTCAAGACGCACTCAGTGACATGCAGACTTGGGGCCCTAAAAGATTATTAGTTAGGGTACGTCTATACCCAGCCGCTAGTTCGGCGGCCTGCAATCGAACATCTGCGTGCGACCTATCGCGCCTTGGCCCGGCGCGA